AAGGTTTGCATCCGGCACATCGTCCGGAACGGTGGCATGTGTTGCTCTTCTGAAAGCGGAAGAGCTGGTCCTGTTGAATTTGGGAGATTGTCGCGCAGTGTTATGTGAAGATGGCAAGGTGACGACGACCACCACAGACCATGCCCCCGAGAAGAACAAGTTCGAGAAGCAGCGCTTGGAGGAGATCGGCGTGAACGTGGAAGGTGGATATGTTGATGGGAAGGTCCAAGTCTCGCGTGCTTTCGGAGATGTTGCCGGTGAGACCGGGAAGAAAGTCCCCGGGCTTATTTGTACCCCCGAAGTCTTCGTCGTGAGTGTCAAAGACACCACAGAGTTTGTACTTCTTGCCACTGATGGCATCTGGGATGGTTTGCGAGATCAGACGGCAATCACAACAGCCCGCAAAGTGCTGCGGGAGACAAGGTCCCCAGAAGCTGCTGCAAAAGCAGTTGTGGAAGCGGCTGCAAACGTCACGAAGGCCGACAATTCGGCCGTCGTTGTTGTAGCACTGAACATCCCCGAGCCCCTGCCAAAACGCGAGCCGGGGCAGCGGCGCCTGTTTGCTCCTAAGAAGGACTGAGGCAGGGGACTCTGCCTCTGCATGTTCTGTCGAAGTCTCGCAGGTGCATGCCTGCTGTTCCACGAGACCTCGACAGAACCATGTGTAAGTGACAGTGCGCATTTGAAGGCGCGTTCGATTTGAAAAAGGATGGGATGGGAACCCCACGAGCACGGAGACATCTTCTACATTGTTCAAGCGGGCTGATACACAAGCCTTACTTTCGGTCTTGCTTCATGTGCCTTCAACTTTCTTCGCTCTGGCCAAGGCGGAAATACGGCCTGGATTCCGCGGTCGTGGGGGAGAACCTGGGGCCCAAGAACCAGGCGAAGCGAAGCCGCCCGCAAAGCTTGGAGAGGCTTAGAGCTGAGTAGGTGGCTAGCTTCCTCCACGCCATGCGAACTTTCATGCGCTACCCCCTGGTGGCTATGAACGTGCTTGTCGACTCCTGAGCCGGAAATGCCCCAAGAAGGGAATCAGAAAAAAGCACATTGTGGTCCATGTGACAGGTCATCATCTACGAGATGATACTCGGGTACCGGCCTCTGAGCCTTTGAATTGACCCCCCCCCCCCTCAATTTGCTTCAGGCAACATTTCCTGGTTGGGGCTTCGCCGTCGAGAGCGCTCTCAAGGCCAGAGCTGGTCGCAGAGCCATGAGTATCGGGTCCGGCTTGGGAAGTGCCCCCAACTGCAGAGCACTCTTCTGCTTCTCTTGTCGGAACAAGGGTTTGTTTTTCGAGAAAGCCATACCGCGATTTCCAAAAAGCTCTCGCCCGCTTTGACAATGCCTCCGAGGTTGCGAAGGACCCTCCCTCCCTCCACCCGACGCGACTGGGGCTGCCAGCTGTGAGCCAGCCCTTGCCGGTTAGTTACACCAGGCGTAAATGCAGCTTGAAGGGATTCTGAGGTCAAGTTGCATGAAGCACTAGCAGCTCATAAGATGATCATGAATCATAATCATTCCACGATAGACGAGTGACCTCAGGATCTTGGAGGATCGCCGTAAATGGACCGTTTTGCGGCACGCCAAACGCTTCGTTTTGATGTGCGCTGTCTCGGTTGAAGCTCACAGGTGCTGCGTTGAGCCAAGTGTCGTATGGGCCCGTCCACACAGCAAACAGGGAGCAAGCCTGTTCAAGAATGCATGCCGCATACCGGGGTCCTGAAG